GTTCGATACCCTCCACCCGGCCCTTGCCACCCGATGGTTTAAGCACCTGGGTATGCCAGCTAAGGTCGCAGACCTCGTGGGTAGTGTATGGCTCCAGCAGCAGAGGGTCATGTGCTATGGGGGTTATGTCCACGAACAGGTGCAGGAAGTGCAGACTTCCGTTCCACAAGGTGATGGCATGTCACTTGTGGCCATGATTGCCATTTTGGCTGGGCCTACGGAGGCTATCAGACACAAGCACCGTAATTTGACGATGAGGACCTTTGTGGACGACAGGTGCTTTGCCGCCGATTCGCTGCAACAAGCCATGCAGGTTAAGGAGGAATGGAAAGAATGGGCCGACGTCCTCGGCTTGCGAGAAAACCATGCCAAGGCGACGCACTACCATCGCCGCCGTAAGGACAGGGTTAGTTTCCTTAGTGCTGGGGTCCCTCCTGACCGGGTCACGGCCCAGCCCAAGGTCCTAGGGGTTCAGCTACAAGCTTTGCAGAGGCGGAAAATCTCGGAGGATGAAAGGAAACGCCTCGAGAGTGTTCGCAAGTGCATTAGACGTGCACGTTTCCTGCCGGTTGCTTGGAGGTTTAAGAAACACTTCATCGCCAGCCAAGCGCTGTGCCGGGCGGCATGGGGTTGGGTCTTTAGACACCCTAGTATCCGCGAAGTTCAAGGGGTTCAAAGTGCGATCAGTTACGCGCTCCGGGAGAGTATCAGCGCATGCCCGCACATGAGAACGATTTTACGAGGTCACAGCCTTGATTTCCGTTTTAGGATTTTGCTTGCCAACCTTCAGGCTACTTTTAGGATTGCTTGCAAAAGTGCTGCCGGTTGCACGGTGGCTTGGACGGAGAGAGGATGGTCTGAAATTTGCAGGAAGTGCCTGGCTTTTTACGGCTGGACTACTACCCAACCTTGGAAATGGACCCATGGAGAGCTTGGGGCTCAGTTTTCTCTTGTGGCAGGCGAGCTGGCCACGAAGACAAGGGTTGAACACCTCTGGAGGGAGTCATTCCGCCAGTGGCACTTTCGCCGCTGGCTGTCCAAGGCGAGGCGTGACTCAAGAGAGTGCGCGGCAGCCGGTACGCGCTACAATGAAGCCACATGTCAAATCGCGAGACGCTGGGCGGCTCACTGTCGTCAGAGTTTCATGGTGCTCAGTGGCTCAACTGTTTCCCCTGCTGCGTTTGATGTCATGAAGCATCGGGCTGCGCAGGACTGCTGCTTCTGTGCGAACTCTGCATGTGACAAGGATGAACGGCCCAAGGCCACCATGCAGCACCTCTTGTGGGAATGCGTGGGGTTACGGGATGATCGAAGGAACGCGCTGGGCGACGCCGTCCCGGTGTCTACGCTCCAGGCAAGGATCGGCTGGCCTTCCCGGCCTGCCTGTGCTCAGGACGAGGCCATCCTGGGATGGCATAAGGTTGTCCGCCAGAAGATCCTGGCGCAGCGTTATGGCTAGCGCCTTAGGGCGCGCGGCACTGCTCCTATCTTTTCAGGACAGTTGTCGCTGGAAGTTTCATCATCATCTACTACGATGTTTGAAATATTATTCGCCAATTGGGGGCCGCCTTGTAGAGCCCTCGTCGACCACGTGGACAAGGCGTTCTCGATCTTCTTCTTGGTCTACCGGTGCATGATAGGATTTGCTGTGCTGCCGGGCTGCATCGACAGAAATGGGCCGTTTCAGGTGCTCCGAGGTTGTGGCAGGATCTGACAGAGAGCTAAGGGTTTAGGGATTCAGGGCTTAGGATGCTTACCGCCACCGTTTTCCACACCTTCGTCCCACCTTTCTTCCGCCTTTGTTCTACCCTTTCACATTACCTCAAATCACCTCCGATCTACCTTCATCCTACCTTTCATTCAAGACCGAGTATCTGTCCGTGTCCAACAGCTTCTTAAGGAAGGGGGGGTCACCTGTGTCTTTTTTTGGGGGTCACTTGTGTCTTTTGTGCTGGTTCGGAAGCAACAGTCTCGAACGGGAGGCCCCCTGGAAGGCTAACCTTACAGCCACCCAAAGCTTAGAACAAACCTGCTAAAGGATCCCCTGGCGCCCTAGACACACAGACATGTAATAACATATACATGAGTGCAAAGGTAGCTTACTCCACACGTCAGTAGCTTCTGGCAGTGTGCATTTCTCATCACCTCTAGCATAGTTAGATAGTACAAGGTCAAAAATCAGTAACAAAGTAAATTAACACACACCCTGAATGAATGAATGAATGAATGGACGAACGCACGAACGAAGGAATGAATGAGTGAGTGAGTGAGTGAGTTGAGTGAATGAATGAATGGCTGAATGAGTGAATGAATGAATGAATGAATGAATGTAAAAAAAGTAGTAGTAGTAGTAGTAGTAGTAGTAGCAGTAGCAGTAGCAGTAGCAGTAGCAGTAGCAGTAGCAGTCGTAGTAGCAGTCGTAGTCGTAGTAGTAGTAGTAGTAGTTGTTGTTGTTGTTGCTGCTGCTGCTGCTGCTGGTGCTGTTGTTGTTGTTGTTGTTGTTTGTTGTTCTTCTGTTTCATCTGCATTTCTTTCCGGCTGGTCTCCGATTTACAGACGTGGGTGTATACACAGTGACCGAAGAGCCACAGTCATGCTGCAATCAGATTGGCTGCGGTGTGATGTAGCTCCTCGTATATGGAGGTCGCTCAACATTTGCTATCCTTCGGTGTTGCTAGCACTGTGAATGCTTTGTAGCATCACCCCGAGAACAGCAATGGAGCAGTATTGCTCATGTTGTTATGTACTCTTGCTCTGGTTTAATGTCGCACCATTTGGTACGTTGTGACATGTGATAGTTATAGTGTGTTTTTCCTGCACATCCGCTAGTCAGAACGAACTTCGCTGTAAAAGGAGCAAACCCAATTCGCAACCCTAAGGAAAGAAGGCCGACGCCGAATCCCTGAAACCTAAACGGAGTCATAAAGCCGACCCCGAAACCCTAAAAGAAATGAAAGGTAAGCTTGCAAGAAAGCCGAAACCCTAAAAGGGGTAAATCCAGGCCGAAGCTTGAAAAGTAAAGCCAGAACGAAGCCCTAAAAGGAGTAAACCCAGACCGAAATCCTATTGAAACAAGGCCCTGTCCTTAACAAGAGTAAACGGACCCCGAAACCCCCAAAAATAAACCCACAGCGAAGCCCTAAAAGGAGTAAATCCAGATCGAAACTCTGATGAAAGAAGGTCCAGACACTAAAGTGGAGTAAACCCAGAACGAAGCCCTAAACGGAGTAAACCGAGACCGAAATCCTATTGAAACAATGCCCTGTCCTTAACAAGAGTAAACGGACCCCGAAACGAAAAATAAAAATAAACACACAGCGAAGCCCTAAAAGGAGTAAACCCAGATCGACACCCTAATGAAAGAAGGTCCAGACACTAAAAGGAGTAAACCCAAAGCGAAGCCCCAGAACGAAACCCTAATGAAAGAAATAGGAAAGAAGGCCGACGCCGAATCCCTGAAACCTAATTAAACGAGTAATAAGACCCACTCCGAAACCCTAAAAGAAGCGGAAGGTAAGCTTGCAAGAAAGCCGAAACCCGAAAAGGGGTAAACCCAGGCCCAAGCCCTAAAATGTGCAAGCGCAGACCGCTACCCTACAAGGAGTAAGCCCAGACCGAAACCCTAATGAGACACCCTAAAAGGAGTAAACCCTAAAAGGAGAAGGTTTTTGTTTGTTTGGCTCCGAAAATTAAAGTCGTTGTCAGGTGCATTTACCGGGCCTGAAACTGAGCGGGGTTGAGGTCCAACCAAGGCACCTGTCGTTCGAGCCTGTTGCTTCCGAACAAGGAAAAAGACTGAAGCGACACCAGAATAAAAGACAGAAGTGATCCCTAAAAAAAGACGCAATTGAACCCAAAATAAAAGACAGAAGTGATCGGGCACCCTTAAACAGGATCCAATATTGTTTTGGTTCATCTCTTGGAAATCTTGGACGGGCTGGGCTCAACGTGCAATGAGAGCGGGGCATTTGCCCTGCCCTTCCCTCCCTCCCGGCCTCCCCTGGTACCCTGCAGTGGAACACATTGGTTTGTGTGTGCATGTGTGTGTATATATACATATACGTATTCATATAAATATACATATGTATATATACACACACGTATGTATTTTTCCTATATGCACGTGTATTTATGTAATATGTACAACATTTATGATAACTAGACAATACGCATAATTAAATTAAGTTGGTGCAAACGTCCCTGTGAGGTGCAGGCGTGTGTGCATCTGTTTAAACTGAGATCTGAGCGCGTGGCGCTCCATGCCTAGGTGCTTGGGCGCTGTGTGCAGGGCGAGACATGTGTTGCTTGATTTGTTCAATATAAGCAATCACTTTGAATGGTTGGCCACATCGTGCATAGACTTGGCTTGTCTTGGTGCGACTTCGGCTCATTTTTGACTTTCCCACCCTCCCTCGAAAATGGGGTCGGGGGGGGGGGTGGGGGCGGGGGGCTGGGGGATCATGTGCAACCAGGCCTGGCGAGTGTGGCAGGTTCAGGTTCGAGGGGGAGGCGTGAGCCTCTGTAGGTGTCGTGCCACAGTTGTCTAGATTTTCTGTGTTCTGGACTAGCGACCACCACTCAGCAAAGCATGTCAAAGGGTGTCTCGGTGGGCATGGCTAGGTTTTCGGATCCGTGGGCGTCGAGGGTATGTAAACATCATGTTTTGGCGAGAGCGCGTCATCTTGTCAAGGTGGCTTCGGTCACACAGGTGCACAGGCGCGTTGAGGCAATCGGCCCTAGGATTTCATGGCGAGGTAGGTATTCCGCTAGAATGCTAGAATCGGAAGAGTATTCACTCGATTTACTGTAAGTAAGTGAGAAAGTGATTGAGTGAGCCGGTAAGTGCCGTAGGTTAAGTATGAAATCAGTAAATATAATAAGTAAGTATGTAAGTCTGTATGTACCTGTGTGTGCGCACGCACGTATGTAGGCATGCATGGTCTGTGCGTCTGTCTGTCTGCCTGTCTGCGCGCACACTGAGGTATAAGCAGAACATGTAGAGCTGGTGCTGCAGGAGCGGCTTCACTGTCCATGACATCCCAGATCAGCCTCACCGTAAGCGTCCTGAGCCTAGATCAGATGCCTCGGGGATGTGGCCACGAAGTTAGATTTCGGGTGAGTTTTGCAGCTGCCGCAACGTTTTGGTGGAAAGGTCTGAAAAAAAGCATTGAAACAGCCTTGAGCCACATGCCAGAATGTTCCATGCCGTTTTGGTAAGACACGCAGTCAGCCAATGATCGGCACAGGAATTTCTTCGTGTGCATTTGGCCCCAAGTCCCAGAGGCCCCAACGCCTCCAAACTCGCTCTCCAAGAGCCCAGGGCTTGAGCTACGTCACGCCAAAGACGTGAAGACTCTGGACTACGACGAGTCCAAGTTCGAGATGCTCGGCTGCACGCTATTAACGCCGGGAGCCGGCAGAAGCACACTGCGACCGCTAAGGGCTGCTAAGACCTGGCTTTGTTTGCCATGTCATGGACATGTTTCAGCGCGGGAATGCCATTCGGCGCAACTTCTACAGACACTGCACAGAACCTGCACGGGTTATCGCGAAACCATGCCGGACGCCAACAACATTGGCGGCGGCGGCGGTTGACGGCTCGCCCTCGAAAGAGCATGCCGTGGCCAATCTGTACACTGTACAACACATTGGCGACAAAAGCATAAATTCGAACATGCAGGGAAATGTTGGGTTGCTAGCACCAGCACTCCCCGTCACCGCCTGGCTCCCAAATGCGAACAGTCAACCGCAGACCGTTAAGGCCTAAGGGGGCACCAGGCGGCACTGTAGCGGCATTGAGAAAAATGCCTCCCCCTCCCGAAGGTAACGGCCAATGGTGGGCCGCGACGCTGAGCACAACGTCTCCCCACAATCCACCAGTATGTCGGCAGTTTGACGACCAGCGGGTATGCCGCAGCGTAATCAGATAAGCCATGAGCATCCATGCCGAAGCGCTGTTGCGTGCTACCGGTCATGCCCTTACGCCTCCCCAAATCCATATAGGCACACAAAAAGCATGCAGGTCTCGGCCAAGGGGTGAAGCCGCAGGAGGTATTTATTCCAGGTTAGTTCCCGCCACTGCACCCGCAGTGGCCCTCCCCCCCCATAGGGCAACAAGATTGGCATGGACGAACTTCCGCCCATGCATGCAAGCTTTACAGTAGCTACTGTTCTCTGCGGCAGGCGCCGCGCCAACCTCATGTGCCTTGATTGCAATGAGGGTACAAGTTACCAACGACTTTGGGAAATCTGTGAAGACTTGTCAAAGGCCTCGGATCATCACTCATGCCCCGTTCACCCCAGTGTGGCGAACGTACCGATTCTGAGAGGCTTTGTCTTTTGCTCTGTTCGATGTGGGTTCGATACTGGTTCGATATTATATAAGCGTGTTGGTGAGCTACTCACATATTCCTTGGTCTAGGCCGTGCATTATCATTATCATGATGCTTTTGTGCGGTATCCTCGGTCCTTTGACAAGACCTGCAGTGCCTATGGAGGTGTGAGCGATCGAGGACGGTAGCTACGTTTAGATCCTAGAGCGGAAATTTGAGCCTGAAGCCGGACAACCCTGGCCACGAGAGTAAGAGGAGTGTACTTTGGAGGGTTGGGCTGACCTACTCTTGGAGTCTCGGATGGTGTCCGTCGCGAAGATGAGCGACAGTACCACTTGAGCTACCAACAACGCAGTAAAGACGCACAGCCTATTGGCCAACACGGAGATTTGCAAGGATGTAAGGCCGCCTGAAGGCCTTGTGCCGAGCGGGTTGCGTCCTTTGGCATTCCCGAGGCTCGGTATTCTCAGACGTTGCTCATGGGTGCTGCAGCTCGGATGATCTTGATCAATAATAGCCTATAGTGTCCTATGACGCTCCTATATGGGCATATAATATGCGGCCCTGATAAAGCGCGTGGTCATTTCACTTCCGAAGCTGTCTTCTTCCCTGCCGATGCTTCCACTGCAGGATGGGTGCCTTCCAGCTCGAGCTCGACCTGAAGAAGAACCAGGTGCCTTTCCTTCGAGAAGTGACGGAGCAAGTAGACGAGGGCTTGGGATATGGAGTTCAGGGTTTAGGGTGCTTCCGTAAGGGTACACGCCCGGAAGATCAGAGCCGCCCGTGTGTACGAGTTGTATGTGGGGCTGTGGCGGAGTCTCTCTCCGTCCAAGCAGTTCGCCTCCAAACGAGTCGTTGCTGAGGTGGTCTGCGGACCCAGGGCTGCCCTGCTGAAGCCGTTTTGGGAGACGCCCCTCGAGCTCTCCTATTTTGCAGCGGTTCTTATCATCTCCCGGTTCCTTGTTCGGCGATGTGAATGCTGGAGCTCATGCATGATGCGGGACTGAGGACTGTGGCACTTGTAAAGACGACCGAGGCGACCATGTGGAAGCATGGCCTCAAATGTTGGGTTCCTTCAGTGCCTGCTGTAACGGGGAGACCGTTTTCAGGTTTTGGGCAGGTATTGGAGTTCGGGTGCATCACAGTGGAAAGTGAAAGTGCAGCAGGGTTTTTGGTATGCAGCATTGCAAACTCTAGCTGCCTTGGCTGACTGAATCTGCGGCGTTGACGCCACTGCTGCCCAGCGCTTGTTGCACAAACTGTCATGCTGTAATAAGGACTATAAGGAAATCATAATAAGGGCCTGGAAGAGCAAATGACCGAGCCAACGTGCTAAAATGCCTCTGCTTCGCGCAATACCCAGACAACCCAATACCCCTTAATCAAGGAATATAATATACCTGAAATTGTAAGAGCCTTAACATTATGATGTAAGGTATATTCCTTATTTAAGGGGTATTGGGTTCTCTGGATACACCTCAGGATCTTCAGCCCGCAACCGGCGAGGGTGCTGGTCACCGCGTAGCACCCCGACGTTTCTTCCTGACTCGCTTCGGGGGTGTCTTCAGGGGTTGATGTGAAGCCGGATGTTGGTCGGGCTTTAGTTTCACTGCTTATGTGTCACTTAAGTAGATTCACACACACGCACACACACACATATATATATATACACACATACATAACTATATACATATATATATATATAATATGCATGCACATATGTATATGTGTATGTATATGTTCAGGCTATCATTGACCCGGGCTCTCCAGCATACTTCTCAGTGTGGGTCCATGCAGAGCAGTATCAGCGAGTCGTTCTCAAGTTTGATACTGGCTGTTGATACACTGTACCACAGCCAGGAAATGTGGGCCTTAGATTTCACGTGCAGGCGTAGGGATGTGAACTTCTAGCAGCCGTGCACGAAAAGAGCATGCAGCTGCACATGATCATATACGTAAATCTATGAAGACGCGCACCCACATAATCACGGACACGAGGGCCTGCACTCAGACGCATGCTTGGGAACATGATCCTCCACAGCGGGCAGACTGGACAGACTTAGATAGACTGGCGTGGATACGCATTGACATGCCAATAAACTTCTTAGTAGCTGAATTACTACACTTTAAACTGTATGGAACTGAAAGTGTACACTTTCTTGTGCTTGTGAACTCAGCAACTAAGTAAAGTCTCTCTGCTGCCCTCTCTGGTAGAAGCCAGAGCCTCAAGCCTCCCAGGCGGCCCCGGGGTCGACCAGGAGCGTTCGAACCCCTCGGATCACGCTCTGGTGAGATTTTCTCAAAGCCTGCCGAAAGGCTTCCTGAGGCAAGGACTAAGCTGGGAGATTTCGAGATCCAGGAGCACCGAATCTCATCGAGTCTAGGGTCATCTTGGCCAGGAGTGTGTTCCTCTTCTGGCCTCTGTCATAGCTTTCTGCGACACGAGGCATCGCTCTTCGGTAGTCATTCGCCTGATCAAAAATGAAGATGTGAAAGATGAGTTCTGAAGCCATCGAAGGAGTGATCTCTGGAGCTCGAAATCTTTCGTCTACCCCGAAGCCAACAGTTGGGCTTTGAGCAGCCCTCGTTCCACTTTTGCCGGCTCGTTTTTCAGAGGCCTGAGGTTGTATCTCAGGTTTCTCTCTGCCGGGTCTTCAACGCGAGTCCAGAGCTTGACGGGGAAGTACTGATAGTTAGGGTGGAGGAGAGGCGAATCGCTCTGCATTCCCATCTTCCCTGCAGCCTTGCGCTCTGCGTTACCTTCGTCTTGCCGGCGGGTTTGCAACGCAAACGGCTGCTGGCATCTGTACAGCAGATTGCTTTTCGGCGACTTGCCTAGCATAAGATCCCGAGAAATCGGTTTGGACGCCGGGTTCCCTAACCAAGCGTTGCAGTCCTAGCTACTGCCACACCCTGTTGTCTTTAAGTCAAGCATCGCAGGTTCGATTCGATAGGTCCTTTTGCTCGACGGCAGCCGTTTTAATCTGGCCGCCGTCGGGAAACCTCGGGCATCGGATCGCCAAGTCGGGCCCCCTTGCACAGGAACAGCACTTGCCAATGGTGCAGAGACTGAGTCCTGCGCGGAAGGGCATGTTTAGGGAGCCAAGAGCAGCATCCTGATCTCTTCTCTGCTGGCTTGTGTGAGCAGAAGCAGTATTTATCCTTTTGTCTCCGGTCTGTAGGTGCTGCCTTGGCATGAACCCTAATTTTCCGAGGGAATGGCTTCCCGATCCAGTCTGTGGGGCTTGGCGTTGGCACACCCAAGATGGCCAGCGCACGCTGCCCCAAGTTTCAGAGCTTCTGAGCTGCTTGCAGATCTTGCAATGTCCCATTTGAACAACGGATCACGACCATACGATGGCTGAAACGGAGCCATGACTGGCGTGTCATCATCGCCTTCTTAGCTCGCAGCGACCGCAGCGCCTTCGTTTTGATGCCAGTGGGACCTTTCCCAGGGTGCTTTGCAGCCAGTGCGACCTTTTGAAGGTCTTGTGCGCACGCTGCAAGGAGGCTGCTGCTGTCCTCTCCCATGATTTTGGAGTTTCCGGCCGTTTGACGCAAAATGGCACGAGCTTTGCTTAACTCACAGGGACCCGGCAAGGGATAGCTACCAGCATATGCAGAGCATATGTGTAAGGTTTTAAAGGCCACTCCGTTCCCCATGCCTTGGCCTGGGGCATATGTGTATTGCATCGCGGAGCAACGTCTGAGCGTGAATGCACAAACCTCTAGTCTCGAGGCCCTGCTCCTACGACGTCTCACAGCATGCCTTGCCTTGTACCCTGCGTTTGCGACATGTGGACGGCCTGATGCTCATAATTTCCCAAGAGGCACACAGCCTTAACCGATCGGAACAAAGGTGGATGTCTTCCTGGATGGCCTTCGTGCGCACTGGCAATCCGAACACAGCCGTCTCTCGTCTCCTTTTGGCGATCCTGGAAATGAGTGTTCTTTTCAGGCAGGAAGGAAGGGAGGAAGGAAGGAAGGAGCTTGCTTTTCGCACAGCGGCCGTTCTGGGCATGGCTTTCTTCAGAGAACCTGACAGGCCCCGTGGCCAAGCCTGTTGCCTCCCAGCCAGATTCTACAAGTAGCAAAGATCCTGAATCGGAAGAAAGGCTGCTTCAAGTGCGTAGAGCCGCCAACATAGCTGCCCCAAGTGCCAATTGCGTAGATCCCCAACAACTGGTGGATGGGTACCGAATCACGAGATATCTGGCAAGAAATCTGGGCGCCAGAGCCAAGTCGTGTCTTCTGACGTATCGGGCCCGTGTTTGCCTAGGAGATGCAGGGAAAGTGGCAACAGCGCGGTCCCAAGCTGAAGCCGAGATTCCGGACCTGGGCTTCGTACTGGTAGTGCCCTTGCTACCAAGTATAAGCCATACAAGGATCTGCGGGGATCTGTGGTAGTGATGTAGTGTTGGAAACAAGCCTTACAGCAATGACTGGAACTCTGTCTTCCACGAGTCGACGAGGATGTGAGCCACGATCATGGCAATCAGCTCATTGCTCTCGCAAAGCATCCTGGAGTATCTTCTGGGCTGGTAGATGGCAGGCCCGAGATACTTCGGCCATGTAAACGGCAGGCATGAATTCCTGAAGGGCCGCGACACGTGTGTAGTAGACTCAAACGATCGTGGGCTGCTTCTTGTCGAGCTCGGCTTGGCAGTGCCCATGGATTTCGACACACCTCCGTACACCCGGAAGATCCCGAAAGTAAAATTGCTCTATTCTTCTTTCGGTTGGGTCAAAATCCCATTCTGCCTATTCTAGTCAGAAGGGCCTCAATAGTATCCTTGGGCTTCTTTCCGATTGGGTGCATTGGGCACTATGGAGAAGTTTCCGAAGGTTTCGAGGCACTAGGCTTTCGCGCCATGGAGCTTATGGCTTCACGTTGGGTTCCTGTAGATGCTGGAGATTGGAGTCAGGTCGCTAATCTTTTCAAGGAGGGGCCTCCTTAGTTTGTGGCCGTCTGCATTGGGAGGTCGTAAGGGGTCTTCAACTTGCGGTTGCTTGCGAATTCCAACCGCGTTCAAGGAGTCAAGGATATTCAAACGGGTTTTTGTCGGCTTGAACGGCATTCAGGCAGTCGAAGCTACCCAAGGTTCGGGCCATCTTCTGTTGTCATGCGCTGGGACTGCTTTGTGTGCAGAGTTTGTACCCAGATGTTGGCAGCGCAGTCGTAGGCCGAGCTGTCCTGGCCAAGTTATCAAGCCGGGATGCCTGGGCCCCCTGAAGCCCTGGAGGACGGCTTCGACGGCTGGGTCGAGGATGCTAAGTTCCTGGAGCCTCGAAAGGGGCTCTTGGCCCGGAGCCCTCAGAAATCCTTTGAGAGCTCGAGACTCTGAATGGAGGGCCGGTGGTCTCCAGGGGTTTTTCTCAAGAGTTCAGGAGCCTTGGAGCGGCTTTCATCGGAAGCCAGCTCCCCACCCCTCGATGTTGCAAAGGGCGATTGTCAAATTGTGCGGCACAGTCTAGGGTTTTGATAGGCGGATGTGAGTGAACTCGCGAAGTTTCAAACCCCTTTTTCACAAAGCCTTCGTTGAAGTGCTTCCATTAAAGTGGTCGTTGAGGTCTGAAGGTTAGAAAATCCAAGTTCAGCTCTGAGCTGGATTGGTTTTCGTGGCGTCGGAGACGACCGAAGACTAAGACTTGCGATAATCGCTCCGGTTGAAAGCCTCCCGTTATAAACGCAAGCATGGACTCTCAATACTCTACACGGTTAATTCTAAACCCGCGTTGTGCCGGAACTCCTTAAACGGAGAAATGGGCTTCACAACACCAATGCGCTCGCCTTCGCTGCAGCTGCTCTTACTCGACATGCCTGTCATACTGGAGCTGTCCGCTCCGCGGTCCATGCAGCAGCCTCGACAACCACATAGCCTGACGACCCTATCTTCCAGGAGGCAGATGAAACAGCATAAACTGATACACATCACTTACGCATCCATGATGTTTGATGCAGCCTTAGACTGCGTTTGCTGTAGATGTTGCCGGAGCAGAGGCTGCCAGAATTGCCAGAATCCACATTTCTTAATAAAGCCTGAGACACGACTCTACAGAGCTGTTGCCAAGTTTGCTTTTGCGATAGACCGCCCACGTGTGACCGGATGGCTGCGACAACACACGGGTATGCCATGGCGACGCTTGACCACAAATATAGTATACTATAGTATACTATAATATTGTCACGGGCATAAAATGCCGACAAGCCTACTAAGTAGTCGGTTTCGTGAACTTCGACTTGAACGGACGGCCTGCAAAATCTGGAAGACAAGGATGATCAAAGCTGTTTTTGGATCTTGCAGTACGGGCTTCTCTCCAGTGGCAACTCAAGAAGCTAGTTCCAGCGGCAGGCTTGAGTGCACTGACTGCTTCTGGTGTAGCTGCAGGTCCCCTGCAAGAACAATGGTTCTATTGCATAGCATAGCGGTCGCTCTTTGACAGCTTCGGGGTCCAAGCCATAAGAGTGCTGCGATTCAAGTGTTAGATGCCAGGGACTCTCACTCCAAAGCCTTCCTTTGCCA